TGTATCAAAACAGAAAGAAGTGGATGATTATGTAAGTTCCTTGGAAATTAAAGATAACAAGCAAGTTGAGGGGTACATATAGTATACTCATTTTTGTAGCATTAAGGATGAGATACTGGTGGAGTGGCTTGAGGTATGGTGTGAGGACATTTGACAGTGTTCATCTAAGCTGCTTGACTGGTTCTGCACTGAGTGGGAAACAACATTCAGGGGCCTGGTCTCCAGCAGGCTGCCTTTCCCAGAGAGCCCACACCCCTAGCACATGCAAGGCAGTAATGCTACAGTGATGCTCACACATGCACCAAAGAGAAACGTGCCAAAATTCCTGCCTCCAGAAAATGAATCTTCTTTATAAGTCATCCTGACTTAGAATAAAAGGGGCAGGACTTGAAGTAGAAAAAAACTGGGGGCAGAGTTGGTTCTGGCTTCTTCCTTCCAAATGTCCCCACTCTACTCAGTCTCTCTCAAAGTTGACATGATCTATTGGCACTCTTGAGGCTGCTGATAACTGAATACCACAGATTGAGTAACTTTATAGAGAAAAGAGGTTTATTTTGGCTTACCATTACCTCCATTACCATTCTGGAGGTAAAATGTTGAAGGGCTGCATCTGGTGATGACCTTCTTGCAGGCAGAGTTGTGAAGCTGTTCAGAGAATCACATGGAAAGGGACAGGAAACTCAGACATTTCTGTTTCTCTTCTGGTTTTCTCTCTTATAAAGCCTCCACCCTAAAGATTTTAATCCTAATCACCTCCCCCAAACCCTACCTCTAAATATAATACTGGGTTTAAGTTTCTACAATTAATAATTCACACTGGAGATTACATTCCAGTGTAGGGCAACACTCTTAAACTCTACCCATGCCATAGCAAGTGGTAAGCATTGAAGAATAACAGCACAAGGAGAGAGAGTGATGTAAAGTTATTCAGAGTCTCCACTCAACAGAAAAATACTTTCATTCATTCAAGGAGCATTTTAAAGTACTCACTACCTGTATGATATTATGTCAGGCACTAGTGGTGCTACAAGAAAAAGGAGGTACAGTCCATCTTCAAAATCTTTTAAGGGAGAGAATATGAATTCATACAAGTCAGTAGAGTTTAAAAGAGAGTAAGAAAGAAGAGATAAAATAAACACAAAGTAAATGAAAGAGGTAGATATAAAAAAGCAATTAAATCAATATTTCTCCAAGGATATTTGAATATATATATGGTGAGATCAAAAACTACTGTGAATGTTTAAATTTTAAAAAAAAATGTATTATGGTAAAGGACACATTCCCATTAATCCCTCTCAAAAAACACATCCTTTACTTCGAACACATTTTTGCCACTGTTCTTGCCACTTTCTGAAGCAATTCTGAAAGTCTTTCATACGATTGTCTTTAGTTGCTTTGTCAGGGCTGCCTCAATATTTTGAACCAATTCAAAGCACTTATTTTTCATGGTCATTTTGACCTTGGGGAAAAGCCAGAAGTCACACGGCACCAGACTCTATAAATAAGATGGATAAGGAAACACTGTAAAGTTTTTATTTGACAGAAATTGCCAAAAATGTTTGATCAATGAGGTGTGATCAGAACATATGGTGAATATTTAAATTAACTAACTGATTACAGTAAAAGACATTATCATTAATCTCCCTCAAAATACTCAACATATTCCTTCTTGTTCTGAACACACATATTCCAGCCTTGTTGGCAATGTTTCTTTTATTGTGAGCTATGAGCTTTTAAAAATTTAAGCATTCACCATATTTTTCAATCACCCGTATATACTTACTTTCTCCAGCTTAACATCATGAATTCTCTCTTTTCCCAGAAATGATCACTTTTATTGGGAAAGGATCTATATAGTTTTAACTATCTTATTTTCTACAGCAAAAATATCTGGACAGATGGTGTCACAATGACCTTTGCCTTTGTAATTATTAAAATTAGTTATAAGAAAGGGTTACAAAGCCCTAATAATTAGATCATATTTGATTATCCAAGTTACAAATTGTCCTTATTGAAGAAAATTATCATTAGGCAGACTGGGAAGTGTGGAGTGAATGTTCTATAATATCATTTGCTTCTCTGCCCCTACCTTTGGCTTGATTGAAAAAATCTGACCTTTTCACTTTCTGAAAGGACCTGGACTCAATGGTTTAGCAGACTATTAATCAATCTCTGGACTTCAGAGCTGTGGCTGTTCATGCAAACACAGATTTGGTTTATAACAGCCCAGCAATTGAGAGTCTTTTGCAGTCCACAGCAGGAAAGAAAGAAGAGAGGCAGTAGAGGCAGATATTGAACAGCAAGGCTTCCTGTAGGATTTATTTTATTCATTCCAACCTATGGGGAACTGTAGGATATCTGCTATGCATCTTCCATCAGCACCATAAGAAGCGACAACAGACACATTCACTAAAAAGGGCTCACAAATGCAAATCGTTACAGGGACCAGGCATGTAGGGCCAATGAACAAGTGAGAAGGAGCCAGGTGCATGTAGTACCCTAGGTCTTCTATTTACCTATATTTAAATACTTCTTCATAATTCCAGTTTATTAATATCTACTAATTAAAATATGTAGACAGTACTTTATAAGCCACAATTCTCTGGTCAAACAAAATTGTTTCATTCCCTAAAGAAATGGATCATTTCTTTAAGTATGTTGCCATACTGCCTGGTTTAATAAGATGAATATACTAAATTGAGTATTAAATAAGACTATCTCCCTCATGTAATGGGCACCTAAAATGTGTTTAGCCTCTTGCACTTTTTCCCCATTATAAGATAACGTATCTGTAATAAGAAAAACAATGATCAGATTGTTGTTGTTGTTGTTGTTTTTCGGTTGGAGGAACACAAGAAAAGACACACCAAGCACTTGTTTTGCTAAGGAGGATAATAAGAAAGAAGGCTGGTAGAGGGTTACATGTCTCTGCCTAGGAATGGACTAAGAATCTGGAGAGGAAGAAGAAGAAGAAGACCGGAACTAAAAGGAAAAAGCAAGAGAGAGAAAGATTAAGGGCAGTTCCTGGTGGGATAGGAACTTTAGGAAGAAAGAACAAGCAAGAACTTTAAAGGGCTCTTAAAAGATACAGGGACCTTAACGTTTTTTTCACATGGAGTGTACATGATCTCCTGCCTTGTATATCCAGAATATTTTAGTAAAATCCACAGTGTCATAGTTATGCTTCATGAGCCCACCCTTTTATCAGAAACCAATCCTATTAATACATTCATTCAAGTTCTGCCCTTATGACCTAATCCCCCCTTAAAGTCCCACCTCTCAGCCCTGCTTCCTTGGGGATTATGTTTACAGTCCATGAATTGGAGGTGATATGAAATCATATCACTTCCAATTTATAGCCAGTTGATCAGAAGTACCAGTTGTTCAGACTTGTAATTGGCATCTGAAGTGGGGGCTATCTCAAGGACTGAGGCCCTTTACATTGTGGAATCTGATGGTAACTCCTGGTAAACAGTGCCCAGACTGAACTGAATTATTGGGCATGCAGTGTCTGAAGAATTGGGGAGTTGACTGCTGATGTCAGAAAACCCATCAGACCACCAAAGTATATATCTCAGATACACTATTAACTAGGAAGATAGCCATGGTCAAGATAGTCAGCAGGCTTAGGAATTAGACAAAACTGAGCCTGCCAGTTCTCATCTCCAAAACCTTGAAAAATTATTTAGCATCTCTGTGCCTCAGTTTTTTCACCTGTAAAACCTGAATAATGACTGTATTTTCAGGAGGCAGTTGTTGTTAGGTAATGCAAGAAAGTGTTAACATGTTATCTGCATATACTTCACAAACAGCTATTACTAGATTAAGCCCTGGCCAAGGCATGTGGGTACACAAGGTAAAAGAAGATATGTAGAAACAAAGGGTGATTGCCCACCTCTCCTGATGGTGACAGGAGGTCCTGGTTGCCAGCAGAATCCTGTGTACAGGAACGAGGTGGGGACCAAGAGGGGCAACAGGTGTGTGCTGAGTCAAACATCAGGCAGTGGAGCCTCATGACCTTTATCTGAGTGCTCACTGACTCTGACCATGTTCCCAGGCACTAGATGAAGAGTCCAGTCTCCTAGGACATTTGTTGGGGGGCAACACGTGTCCCTGACAACAGATTGGAGGGAGTCAACTGATCAGCTGATGGGTGTCAGCACTCTCTGTCTCCTGCCAGACAGTATAGGTGATAAATGTTAATTTTTAAATATTCCAATAAAACAAAAAATAAATAATTTAAATAATGTATATATATATAATTTATACCTACATAAATGTATTTACTAAATCATCCATTCTAGACAGCATGTGATAACAGAGAAACACAAACCTGGATTTACTCAGGGGTCAATGTGTCCAAGTGAAAGGTCAGATCCTGCGGCTTGTACACTAGCTGTTAGGTTAGATTAGATTCAAACTGAAATAACCAGGACAGTGAAACTCATTCTGCCTGCCCCAAAGAGAAAGAAAAAGTCAGAAAAGGTAAAGATCATGTCACCAGAGGCGAAGCGAATTTGCCTGCTCTGATGCGCCCCAGCCTGCTTGGCCCCAGGACCATCTGACTGGTTTCTGCCCTGGGAGTGTGTTAAGAAACGTGAGGAAGACTGCCCCAAGGGTAGGTTTTTAAATATAGTGTTTTTTACTCCTTTGTTATGGAATAATTCTCTTTCCAGACTCATCTTCACTTTAGGAGATGATTAGGGTAGCCACGGGGAACTTTTTAGTGATCTACAAAAACTATCATTTTCAAAGCTGACAGAAGGAACACCTGGAGTCATCATTATTTTCTTCTAGAACTCAGTCTGCCTAGCATTGTTGAGCTTCTCTGTCCTTCTCTTGACATACAGCAAGGTCCAGAGATTTTACTATTTCCCAATGCAAGGACAGAACAGAATTGGACCAGGTTTTCAAATCAGACCACCTAGGTTCCAATCCCACCTCTGAGACCACTTGCAGGGCAATCTCGTGCAGGTTTCTTAGCCTGTCTACATCTCAGCTTCTTTGCACCACACAGTAATAGTATACATCTTATAGAAACACTGTGAGGATTAAATGAAAGAATTCATATGTCTCCATGTCTAACGCAGGGTAAACTCACTATCAGTTGTGGTGGCTATCGTTATTGCTTAAGGTATAATTAAAAGGGTAGGCAGTGCTTTTGGCTCTACTGCAAGCTGATTATTTCAAAAATTTGCTTATGTTATTCTTTGCACAGTTTATATATTCCATAGTGAAGGAGTAAAAGATACCTACAGTTAATAAGAGAAATGGAATCTGCTAGACAGCTAGCTATTCATCACCCCCTAGTCTTAGTGTGCATCTTATCTTTGAGAGTCTGTTCTTTCTTTTCCAGCTGGACCAATCATTCCTGCTCTTGGACCTCTCAGAGCTGTTGAGAGGTGACACAGATGCCCTAGTTGAAAGTGATTTGAACAAGATTTCAAGCACAACCTCAAGTTAAAGATATTGCTGGGATGTGGGTGCTGACCTTCTAGGGCAGATCAATCCCCACACCACCACAAACAAACAAATAAACAGACAGACACACTCAGTTTCATACAACTCACTCTTTCAAGATCATGATTTATTTCTCTTAACTGACTCATTTCAATTCTGAGAATCTGCAGGACCTCCAGTCCTTTAATTTTACCTTTCTCACATCCTTTCAACCCCTCTGTTTTCTCACCCTTTTCTTAACTTCAATGACAGAGTCCATTTTTCCATCAGAACCTTGTACTTTCTGTTATTTTTCCTCTCCCTCGCAAGGCCCAATCCTGACTGACATTCATGCTCCCTTCTCCATGCTTGTCCTCCATGTTTCTGGTTAACAACCACCCACCAGGCTGGCTGCGTTTGTTTAAAATCCTGCACAAAGACAATTGGTCTCCTCACACACTGGCTATGCTTTCCTAGTGAATCGAATCACTTTCTGAAAGGACATTTCCTACCTTCTCCTGTCTTCAAACCTCGCACACTCTCTCCCCGTGGAGTTGATGGGAGCATCTTTAAACTCCCTGAGAACACAAGCCAAAGAGCAACTCCTTTTCTCCTGGCACCAGTCTTTTGTATTTTTGCTTTTTTTCCTTTGTGGGGTGAAAGCCTCCCCCGCCTCAGGATAGTAGCCCCCTTTGGACTCAAGGTGGACTCACCTCTCAAGGCACTGGCCCTTTCATTATGCACCCCATTATCAATCCCTCTTTCCCCACTGTATCCCCCCTTTATGTTGTTTTGGGGGAGTACATAAATTACATAAAATTTCATTCATAAAAACAACATGACAGAATTTACTTTGCACTCTTTTCAAATCAATTTCCATCCCTATTGGAAATGACTGTTCTGATTTCTGTCATCAGTGGTTAACTTTTCATGATTTTGTACCCCATTTAAATGGAATCATATAGTATGTACCCTTTGTTATCTGGCTTCTTTTGATAAATAGCATACTTTTTAGTAATCCATGATGTTGAGTATATCAGTTTTTATTGCTGAGTTTACTCCACTGCATTGATACACCACGTTTATTCATATTTCTGTTGCTGGAGATTTTAGTTATTTCCAGGTTTGTGTTACTATAAATAGGATTGCTCTGGACATTCTTATACAAGTATTTTCATGGAAACATATTTTCATTTTTAATTTTCATTTCATTTTTATATCCTTGTGATAGATATTTGATAGGAATATCCTCATCATAGGTATTTTAATTTTATGAGGAATGAATACCTGCTCTTCTAAGTGGCTATGCCATTTTGCATTCTCCTAAATACAATGAAAGAGTTGTGCTTGGCAAAAAAAAGTGCTTGGCAAAAAATTTGCCCCAGAGAGTTTAGCTATGAATACTACCAGACTAAGCAAGCAAACATTTTGAATGTGGGGCGTCTGAATTCCTTCTCTCCTGTATTCATGTCTCACTCTGCTCCTAGCCCTCTTCACAAAAGCCCCACATTGGAACAATCTTTTGTATTAGCCATACATCTTTTTAAGTATTGCAAGCATTATGTTTAAATACATCGTTAATTTACTGACCTATTGGCTTTCTACAGCACCTCCAGCTCCCCAAATACATAACAAGTGCAACTACCTGCAGTTTGGGATCTGTCTCCACACGCCTCAGGAGTCAGTTGTCATGGGGCTTCAGACCTTGCCTTTCTGACAGTCAATCTGTAATTCCCCACCACGGGCTCCTTCTCCAGTGGGAAAGCCTGCGTGTCCCTGCCTGGGCATAGAGCTTCCCTGAAGCTACGGAGGAAATGTGAGGGTGGAAAAGGCCTTACACTCCGGCACAGGCACAGAAGGCAAACATTCTCGGCGGGCGGCCTGAGGTGCGACCGATTGGTGCTCAGTTCTGGGCAGCAGAGCTGGTTGTGTGATCCAGCTGTTCCTGGGAGGGCCGCTGAGGGACGCACTCCTTTCTGCAACATCTGTAGCCCAATTCCTACTCCCGTTACTATATTGTCTCCTCCCCTGTCCACTCTGGACTATCTCCTGGAGGTCCCAGCTCACTGGCCTCCTTCCTCGCAGACGCGGAGTGCCTGGCGGCGATGCCTGAAAACAGCTCCTTCACCAACTGCTGCGAAGGCGGCGGGCTGGCCCTGAGCCCGGGCTTACCGGGGATGAGCAGCACGCTGCCCTCCGGAACTCCCCGGCCCCCCTGGGTGGCCCCCTCGCTAGCTACCGTGCTCATTGTCACCACCGCTGTGGACGTCGTGGGCAACCTCCTGGTCATTCTCTCCGTGCTCACGTACCGCAGGCTCCGGAACGCAGGTGAGCGCCACGCTCGCTGCTGGGGTCCAGTCCTTCCCTGCAGTCAGGTCTTGGCCCCCGACCGGGTGATCGCCGCCTTTTCTCTCCTCAGACTCCAGCGCCGGTTCCTTTCCACTCTCACCTCATCCCTAACTTTGATTCCACGCTCAGAAGTTCCAGTGAGTTCGGATTCCCCCGTGTGCGGCGGTTCAGACTTCTGCCCCTAACAGCTGCCCGGGACTCACTTGGCACACTAGTGCCAGAGTAAATTGAGCAAAGCTTTCCTTGTTATGCACTTTTTGGGGGGGGGGGGGGCAGGGCACCGTCGCTGTGGGAGCCAACTTTGCCACCTGGCGCTCCAGTTTGTGCCCTGCTCAGTGGTGCCCCCACTTGGCCACAGAAGTCTCAGGATCTTTGACACTTCTCTTCCTCCCCTGCCAACTGTGACTTCCCGCAGTAGGTACTTAGAAATTACTTGCTGAGAGAATGAGTGAGTTAATGGAAGTATTATGGCGGGCTTTGTGTTAAAAACTCATCTCATCTCCAAGCCATCTGCAGACCCAATTCCAGCTGAGTCGCTGGCTCTGCTTGGCTAGCACTAAACTGCTTTGAGATAAGGTAATATTTTCTGAAGACGGGGAATTCGTGAGATTAGCTGTGAAAATCGAGACAATGATTTGCTTAAATCATGTTGCAAACCTGAAAATACTTTCCCCTTTCAATCCATTCTCATTTCAGTTTTCCCTGTATAAGGGAACAAAACCAGAGGGAGGCAGGATCAGGACTGGCCCTTATAGGTCAACAGAGCTCGCTGACAATTTCAGCCTGGGGAAGGAGCTCAGTGACGTGTTTGTTAATTTTGTAATTTCCCGTCTAGGGCCTTGGGGGGCAACTCAAATATCAGTGTGAATTAAAATACAAGGACAGCAACAGAAAATCAATTTAAATCTTGAAAATCCCCTTCTAAGGTACCAGACCATTCAGAAGGGCCACTTTTAGTAAATGATTATATCTGATGTTCTTTTTTATGAGGGAAGGAGACTGCAACTTGAGAATTTTAATCTAAAAACAAGCCAAAAATAAAAATGTGAGGTTTGAGCCATCACATGGAAAACAGTATCATTAAGGAGACATAAGCTTTCTAACTCAGGCGTCTCAGCCAGGGTGTCTAATAATATCTGAAAACCTTTTAAAAGATGTTATTATGACATTTGAAGAAAAATGTACATTAGGGAAAAGCAGGCTGGGCCTAGAAAAAAGTATTTGACATTTACGATCATTTTATCCCTATGCAGCAGCCACGCACATTCATTTCCTGCACTGGGGGGCAGGAGAAAAGCAACTCTTGATCCCAGCATCCCACACTTAATCCCTGCATCATATACCCTACATGCAGCCACCTCTGAAAAGCCCCGCCTACGACCCCTTGAGGCTTTGGGGTGACATCGAGTTGCAAGCCACAGCAAGGACTTTCTCTCATGCCTACAAATGCCACTCTAATCCTGGGTCTCCACCTCATGCTTTTGCCTTCTTCTTTTTACAGAAATATTCCCCCATCAAGTTCCTCCTCTTTCTTTTGTATTTTCTACCTGTGCCTATTTCCCTTTAACACCCCCCCCCAAGTATGCACTACAAAGCCTCTTATTTTAAAAGAAAAAACTTTTTAAAAAACACTTTCCTTGATTTTATCATCTCCACATAATTCCATGACTACCTCTCCCCTTCCCTTCTCAGGAAGATGTCTCCATGTGGCACTTTACATCTCTAACTCTGCCTCATTTCTTCCATTCCCTCTTCCATGCTGCATGTGACAAGGAGGAGCACTCCCCTTTGGGGTTTTCCTGTCCCGTGACTTAACCAATGCTTGCTTCTGGACCTCCTTCCTCTCTTCATCTCCCAGATCCTTGAGCTCTGGGAACCGTTTTCAGTTATAGTATTCCTCACTTTTCTTCTTTTCTGTTCTCTCTACTCCCATGGCTCTGATTTCCATCCTCATCCTCTCTTGAGCACACTCTGTCTATACTGTCTAGATGGTTTTCCCTGCTCCCTCCTCTGGGGGCTGTTACCATTGCTAGAGTCCCCCTGCCTCCTCATCTTCAGAACAGTGTCCCTTCCACAGTACAGCTCCTGTAACCATTCTTGGCCAGCAGTACCTGCCTAACTATGAACTCATCTTCTTTCTGTAACTCTTCCCAAAGGGGACTTCTGCCACTCCCCATACATTCCGTGCTCTCTGATGAACCGAGAAGATCCCTAAGTTCTTCAGACTCATCTCTATCTTCTCCTTCTTCAAACCCCTCCCACAACTCCCCAGAGGGTTGTTATGAATACTATGCATGATGCAGTGATTGTCTCTCTTCAGGCTTTCGTGTCACCCTGTGCTGTCTCCAAGACTGCACCCACCCTACTGTACTGTTGCTCTTTTGTCTCTTTTCTCACTGAACTAAATAAAAGAGACTTTTATTCCACTGCTGCTCACGGAGCCAGAAGCACGGTAGGAACTGAAGGCACCTCTGTAGAAACAAGGAGAATACAGATGGACAAGGTACCTGGAAAGAGGCAGAGCAGGAATGATTAATGTAGCTTTCTGAGGTGGGGCAGAGCGCAGTGTTAGTGCTCAGCACATAAGCCCAAAGTATACCTCACTTTTGTCCTTAAGAGCTAACCCTGGGGATCTTCTTCACAAAGGTGTACCTGCTCCCTGACTATTCCCAAATGGTTAGAGTTTTTAACAAGTTCCAGCTAGACCACAGTTCTCTGAAACTGAGCCCTTATGATGCCTCTCAAGGAATTTGTCTCCTTGTTGGTCTGTCCTGAACCACTTTAAGCTGCCTGTAAAATGAGGGCTTCTAGCCACTAACCGCACTATCTAGACAGTCCTCAACATGAGAGCCAAGAGAAAGAGCCATGTCCTCACTGTCTCAACAGGCATCCTCTTCACCAGCAGAGAGGGAAGCAGTACAGAATTGCTTCCTTTTGGCTCTGAGGGCACACTGACCCCAAATTTCTAGGTACCAGATGGGAACTGTGGTCTCATCAAGGATTCTTGGGCTGCATCTGTATTGAAAAGGCTGTCAGAGAGGTGTTAGTGAGTGAATTTGGCATTTCTGGAATGTGTTTCAATCATTTGTAAGGATGGGGACATAAAACAGCCGACAGTGGAATTCCACAGGAAAATGTGCAGAATGTGCTTGCTGAACACACAGGTCCTTATCCAGGGTTTGCTTTACCCACCCTAGGAAAGCCATCCCTCTGCTAGGCACCCAGGAAGGCTGAGTCTGCACAATTTCTTATCAGGAACCAACACCTGCCTGTGAGCTTCCTCATGGGATTCCTGCCTGTACCAATGTTGTGCATCTCCAGTTAGATTAGTGAAAAGCCTGAAGTATGGCTCCCTTTCCCATGCATCTTCTCTTCCCAATGGGAAAATGAGAGACACAAACATAAGAACAATGAAACTGGACAAATGTATACCCATCATTAAGTACATGACTCTACTTCTCACTCATCTCACAGGAATCCTACTCTTGGGAGCACATAAGGCTCTTTCTTTTTCTTTCAATGCAACTAATAATAATATGAAAACAACAATATTAAATGATAACTCACATTGTTAATGGCTTACTATGTATGAGATACAAAGGCCAACAAGAAAATGTCTAGTGGACTCACAGTTCCTATCTTCCACTGCATTCAGGGTTCATTCTACCACTAAGCACTCATTGAGATGTCACTGGGGGTCAGGTGTCTTTTGTCCACTGAGTGAGGTAGATCTGGAATGGTTATCAGCCAAATACCAAACAGGGTTACCTTGAACTCCCTCTCTAATGTTTCTGGGCTTTTCAACTTCACATTTTGGCCATGAATACCTTATTATCTCTTCACCAAGCAAAAATAAATACTTCTTAAAATCCCATAATTATGTCTTTAGTTTCATAATTAGGAAAGCTCTTAATCCTCTTTAATTCCTCCCTTGGAGCACTCAGTGGCCCAAGGGTACAAAGACTTTTCATGTTTGACTATCTGTATTTCCAAAATGTTGGGTTCCTTATTTGGACATAATATTCAAAACTCAGAAGACATTAAATGCAGATATTAAGTCTCATAATTTTAAACATTTACTGCTCAAGAAGTAAAAGTTAGGATGTTAGAAGTAAAGTTATGATTCTTGATGAGTTTACAATCCACAGGTAATGTCCTCCCTTCTTCACTGTCTCCACCCATTGCTCCCACTATAGCTGAGGCATGTAGCAGAGTACACCATCTGTGTTTACATAAGTACACCGTAAGATGCTCACAAAGATGGCGAATCCTAAGGGCACATTTTTCAGAATGTATCCCCATCATTAAGTGGCGCATGATGCTACTTCTCACATCTTGTCTCATAGGAATTCTATTCTAACACACGAGCCACTTTCTTGTTCTTTCAATGTAACTAATAATAACATAAAACAACATTATTAAGTGCCTATTACATATCAGATATAAATCACTCCCATGTAAGAGAGCAAAAGAGAAAAAGAAAACCTCTACAATCCCCTATCAAAGGGAATATTTTCTTTTCAAGTAGCCTCTGTCTCTCTCCTTTGAAGGTAAAGCTGATTGACAGAGTAACCTCAAGGGCAAAACTTCACCCTCCCACATGCAGAAGAATTTGCACTTTCTAATATCACTGCTGACTTCCTAATTGCCAAGTTCAGTCAACACTTTTCTGTTCTTTCTCACTTACAGAAGACTAACAAAGTCTACCCCATGCTTTTTAACCCTCTTGACTTTTCTTTTCTTGGTTTCCTTCTTCTCTTCTTGTTCTTTCTTGAAACTTCTCTGTTGTAAGTATGAACAATTAACATAATCTGAGTGTCTGCCTCTTTATTTGTAAAATGGAAGTTATGCTATCAACTTTAAAGGATTCTTATGAGAAACAATTGAATCAACTTACATAATTGTACCTTATCAACTCAAGTTGCTATATCACTTATTATGTTGCTACTATTAGATTTACTTATCACAATAAAACACTACCCATAAGAGTTTCTTTTGATGGTTATAGAAAAATGTTTTACATTTTTGCATCTCAGTTTTGTTTTGTTTTTAGTGGATGCTTCTTATGTGCTAAATATGTTGTCTTCCTTTAAGTTGAAATGTCCCCTGTCATATTTTTGTATATACTGTTAATTTACTTAGCATTTCTTTTTTGAAATCAAAGCAAAGATTTCAACTCAGCCTTTGTATGATTCATTTTAGCACCCTGGGGTTTTTATAAATAATGTGACTTTAGGAGAAAAGAATTTCTGCCCTGTGGGAATTTGGGAATCTAATCAGAAGCTTACCTTAAATGTATTATTTTAGTATCTGTAAAAAAAAAACAAGTTTTTAATACATTACCTGTTCAATTTTTCAAAAAAATTGCCTAGCTCTAAAATGTAATTAGAATATCTTACATTATTCATTTAGAGATGATTACCATTGCTTGTGACCTTATTATACTAGATTCTGTTTGAGGTGAACAGTCATCCTGGATAGAGACAGTCCTGATGGTGATTTTGTTCAGCCCCTTACTGAAATGTCCTGGCAGAAGAGCTCCTTCTTCTGTCCCTTCTACTGTCCACACTCTTGATCTGACTTAGGAATTCCCCACTGTTTCCACCACCTTGCTCTGTCTTTCCTTCCAGCTTCACTGCACTAAATGGTAGCTGTCCCTGTATGTCACTATCAACAGTAGGGACCATGTCTTTCATCCATCACTCAGCCCTGCCCAAGTGTGGTAGGTACTTAATACTTTTAAATCAATAGAAGGATGGAAGAAGACCTCAAGCCAAAAAAAATTTAACCCTGTTAGCAATGATAAATCATTTGTTGGCTTCCTTGTTGTACCCCTCATTGCATTTCTGGTTCATTTTTGTCTCCTGTATAAGATCAGAAGCTTTGTAAGGAGAGGGAGTGTGTCTGTCTTGCTCACTATGCTTCCCTACACCCCTGGCACTGTCAGGGCCACTGCCTAGTAGATATGCAGCAATATCTGTTGAGTAAATGACTCAACCGATATCTCTACATTGCCTTTTAGCTCAATGACCAGGGGCAATTTAAATCCAACCAAACTTTTCTGAGCACAGAGGGTGGGCACAGAGAAAAGGAGCATAGGATACACGTAGCTTTGCCATTCAGAATTTTCCTATCTTATAAAAAATAGGTACTGCCTACCTCATACTTGTCCTTGTTAAGAAAGAGATTTCCCAGAAAGGGGAAAGAAGAGGGAAGGGATTGTGGTGGTTATGTGCATGAAGGAATGTGCTTTGCATATGAATATTGGAAGGTATTCCATGTTAGTGAACAAAATCCCTTGTGGAGGCCTCTTTCCATTACACACCCTGTCTGATGGAGGCAGATGGATATGAGTCATGACTTGTGATATAAATATTCATTAGAAGCCTGTGCATAGAATGAGGAGCAATGTTGTATGCATGTTGATTCCTTACATGTCTAGGGGAGAAATAAAAAACTAGATCTCCTCTTAACTCATCCAGATAGCACCTCTCTTCTCACAGATGGGAGACAATACAAGAATTATACTCACCTAATTTGGAATCCTTCCAAGACAGCCTGGAGACAGCCTGGAGATAGCATGACTGGCCAGATGAGCTTATAGCAGGAACTGGTTGAATTCAGCCCTTTAGAAACAGCCGGTGTGATGGGGATAGTAATTGAATCGCTTTCCACGTGGAGTTGAATGTGTTCTTCTCACTATTTTCAAGCTGTTTGCCAGACTCTGGGCATTATTAGGGGCTGAACCACATTAACACTGTAGAGCTTGACTTGGCTTTCCCAGGGAAACAGCTGGCTGCACTGGCACCAGCTCTCAGCTGCTCTTGACTTTCTTTGCTTGTGCTTACAAGCACCAAGAGCCAGTTTCTGGCTCATCCTGCAGCCAGCCAGCCCTGCAGGGACCAACTTTCCTTAAAGGAGAGATTTTCTATAAAGTAACAATAGGTGGAGTGTGCATAGGGGTGGGGTGGGAGAGATCCAAAAGAACAAGAGGAAACTGGAGCAGGTGAAGGATTGATCACAGAGAAAGAAGAGCAGATTGAGCCAAATTCCTGTGGCCAGAGTAGCAGAACTGAGATCATGACAGATTGCTGTAAATTCTGATGGTTTCGTTGAAGCTGGGAAATTAGAGAACAAATTCTTTACTCCGCAGAGACCAAGTGCAGTCAGATCAGGTGAGTCCAAGACTTTTGGCAGTGGAGGCAGCTAGCCAGGCTGAGAATTAAATGGCAAGGCACCAGACCCTTCTACTTCCCAACCAGACCTGTAGACACTCATTTATTACCTTGAAGTAACAATTAGAAGGAAAACAAGGATGGGGGAATCTGTGAAGTAAATAGATCCCTCAAATAGGAGAGTAGGAAGGAATCCAGCATTTCAGCCTCATGGGATGATTCTCCTTCACCAGAAACCTCCAGTGGAGTTTCTTCAGAGGAGCTTCTTCTCTCAAAAGCCCTCCACCTGACCTTGTGACTTCCTTTATATTCAGTTACATCCTGGCTTTTTTTTTTTTTTGGTACCAGAGATTGAACTCTGGACCTTGAGCTTCTGAGGCAGGCAGTGGAACCACTGAGCTAAATCCCCTACCCATATATTTATTTTTTATTTTGTTTGTTTTGTTTTTGTTTTTTGGTACCAAGGATTGAACTCGGGTTCTTCCACTTGCTCAAAACCACTGAACTAAATCCCCAGCCCCCATCCTGTCTTCCTTGGACCATATTCTAACTTTGGATACAAGACTAATTTTGTACTAAGAACGTACAAGACACTAGCAAAGTTCTTTTCCATTGATGCTGGGTATCATAGAACCAGGGCCACTGAGACCATAATAGGCACTTCAAGAGAAAGCTTCCTGTGGGTCTCCCAGGCTCCCAGGCCCATGGGCAGCCTAGTACATGGACTCTTACTTGTGGTAGGGTGAGAGAATGTACCTCGGGACAAGGAAAGGCTGGGAGAAGCCCTTTCCCTACTTTTGTGGGGTAATAAGTACAAGCATGGAACCTGCTTCACTTGAAGTTCTGACTTGGATGAACTCCCAGCTGATGACTCTGAGCCTCTGTTTTCCCATAACACTTGGCATCCAGACCATAGCCTGGACTCTCTGGTGGTTGGACCTTTGGACCTTTCCATCTGCTCAATGCTCTTGATCCCTAAGGTAGCCACATCAGCCTCTGAAGACTAAAGACAGATAGCAATGGAGCATCCCTGTTTGTAGCAACTTGAAAGTTCTTCCTGTGAAACCATTCCACCCACCCCCCATCTGTGTTCAAGGCTAGCAGCTTGCATGTCACCATGTGGCAAGACACCAGAAGATTTGAAAGATCATGTCCAGTGCAAACTGTGTGAATGAGAGCCCTGAGAGTGGGAATCTATTATCTTCTGAGCATAGGTAGATGCTTAAAAAATACAAAACAGAGTGAATGAAACAAATGTCATTAGGGATAGAGCTGTTCATGCCCCAAGCTCCATGTTTAAAAACTTCCAGGTTTCGAGTTCTTTATTCATGAGCAAGTATTGGTTTTAGAAATCAAAACTTGAGGAACAGAGCCTATTCTTTTGGAGGGAGCCCTGTCTCTTCCCTAGGAATATGACCCAGGACATGCCTAAAGCTTACTGATTGATGGCTGTGTGTAGTTTCTGAGAGGATGAGAATGAGCTGAAAACATGAACACCCAAGACTAGGCCTTTATTAGGGGACAGGGTGTCAGGTTGTCTCAAACAATGGCGAGAGCAGCAGCCAGGGGCATGGGGGTGGGGGTGGGGGTGGGGGTGGGGATGGGAGACACATAGTAGAGATAGATGTTTGGCTGCAGCCAGAGGTGAGGTTTAAATCCATTGGCAAGTTTGAATTTCTTGGTGGGAAGGACTATAAGCGGGAGAGCTTCGTGGCAGGAAAGTTTGGTTATTGTTTCCCTGAGTGATTTATTATCTGCCGGGAAGAGGCATTTAGGATATGGGCTGCCAGAGCCATTTTATCTAGCAGAGAACTCTATCAGTTTCCTGAGCCTCTGGCTGGCTAAGTTTGATAATGCTGAAGAAATCTCTACTCAGAGGTAGAAGCCTGTGAATGTACAGGCAAAGCAGAAAGACCCTAAAAGCAGACACAAGGAGCTCCCACAGTGACTCCCCACCCCACAGGACAGAGAGTCTGCACCATTCCAAGTGTTTGTCAATGTGGCCGTATGGCTGGGACTGTGGGCTCTGGACAGGGTACACGGAATACTGCAAACACATGGCTCCCACTCCAGGGACCTTTCTCCCATTCCAGCTGCAAAATGCAGTTCACATATAGAAAAATGACTTAAAGACACTGAGAAAGTAACATGTTAATCAGTGAGAAGAAGATTTGAAAAGAGAATATCAGAGACATGTATAGGGAGGCATGGGCTTAAGGAGAGAGAAGGGTGGTGAATCCACATTACTGGCTTTTAGGTTCTCTTCCTCCAATATTTTTGCTGGAGCTTAAACAATACAAAGTCCCAATGCATCTGTGCATATCATGGAATGTTTTTCACTTGTGACCACCCACTGTGTCCCCAAGGAGCACTGTGTATCATTTAATTCTCACAGCTCTACTGCCAGGTAGGTATCATTATCCCCATCTTGCAAACAACAAAGGTGAGCTTTGACCACCTAAGTAACTTGCTTCAGTCACAGTTTGTGAGTAGCAGAGATGCGGCTTGAGTCTTCAACTCTGTCTCTAAATGCCACTTGGTTTCCACTTCTAGTTCTGAAAGTAACTGAAGGACAGGGTGTTCTACAAAAATAGGAATTGCAGGGTCACCACTGACTCTTGCTGGGTTTCCTGCTTTAGGTAATTTATCCTTGGTGAGTCTGGCATTGGCTGATCTGGCAGTGGCCTTGTACCCCTACCCACTGACTCTCCTGGCGATCTTCTGTGATGGACGGGCCCTGGGGGAAGCACACTGAGAAGCCAGTGCCTTTGTGATGGGCTTTAGTGTTATGGGCTCTGTCTTCAACATCACTGCTATTGCCATTAACCGCTATTGCTACATCTGCCACAGTGTGTCCTATCACCGGATCTGTAGGCACTGACACATCCCTGTCTACATCAGCATCATCTGGCTTCTCACCCTGGTGGCCTTAGTGCCCAACTTCTTCATGGGATCCCTGGAATATGACCCACGCATCTACTCCTGCACCTTCATCCAGACAGCCAGCACCCAGTACACAGCGGCAGTGGTAGTCATCCACTTCATCCTCCCCATTGCCATAGTGACCTTCTGTTACCTGCAAATCTGGGTGCTGGTGCTTCAGGCCCGCAGGAAGGCCAGGTCAGAGAACAAGCTGTGCACGTGGCCAAGCAATGTGCAGAGCTTTCTAACCATGTTTGTGGTGTTTGTGATCTTCGCCATCTGCTGGGCCCCCCCTAACTGCATCGGCCTTGCTGTGGCCATAAACCCAGAATGAATGGCTTCCCAGATCACAGAGGGGCTCTTTGTCACTAGCTACTTCCTGGTTTATTTCAATAGCTGTCTTAATGCCATTGTCCATGGGCTCCTGAACCAGAACTTCAGCAGAGAGTACAAGACGATCCTCTCCTCCCTCTGGACCCCACAGAGATGTTTTCAGGAGGCTCCCAAGGGCAGCCATGGGGAACAGCTGCAGAGTCAAGCCCCACCTGTGATTAAAGCCCTGAACCCTGTCCAGGCAGATGGACTCTAATCTGCTCTACAGCGGCAACAAACCTATGAATGGGTGGGAGTGAATCTGCTGCAAGGCTGAGATCAGGCAGCCTGCTGTGCCACTTATCCTGTTCACATCTGCAGCCCACAACTTGTGGAATGTGGTGTTGCCGGCCAGGGTCCCATCAGGCACTGGATCTGGCAGACACTAGGGGAAGCAGTGACTGTGAGATGTTGGAGGCCAAGGAAGGAAAAGAATGAGAAAAGGCCTGGGGCCAAATTGCTCAATGCCTTCCCAGGGGCTGCACTCATCCTACTGCCTTGAGCTCCTTTCTGCTTTCTCTCTTTCTCCTGAGGGACTGTAAGAACACCTCTTCCTGTTGGCTGGGAGGAAGGAGCAAGGTCTGCAGTGCTGAAAGGTAGGTGGCTGCCTACAGGGCCCTAGGAGAGGAGGTATACAAAGCAAGCACTCCACCCTTTCTTCCCACTGAGTTCTCTCTCTCATATACACACTACACACACAGCACAGCACATGTACCACATCACAGACGCCCCCAGCCCCCGTCTCTCAGAATCATCAGCACAAAGTCAGCCTGGCTCTTTCCTGTTTCCATCATGTTGAAGTTCTATGACTTGAGGCAAGCCATCTAAGCTCTTTTGGGTCTCAGTTTACTCATCATAAAATAAATATCATGGCAATGTTTACCTCTGAGTGTTGTGTAGAGAATTATTTGGATTGTGAGAGAACAGTGCCTGACACATGGCTAGCACTCAGTATTCATTAGCTTTTGTTATTCTAAACATATAAACTAACAAATACTTGCGAAGAAGAAAATAAATCGTATACAAGGAAGTGGTGGGGAGGGAATGGAGTTAGGGATGTAGAAATAGGAGAAGGGCAGCTCCACCCCAATTCTTTTCTTATAGTTGTGTATTTATGGACTTTATATATGCAGAAATATTAGGCCTGCAGTTAGCATCAGCAGAATTAGTATTTTCTCTTCAGCTATTAATTGAGTGCCCTTTGTGGCCTTTGTCCAGTAGGAAAAGACAAAAGCATGTTTCTTGACCTCTGGGAGACCAGAGTCTGTTGATAATGGTAACAACAAAAATTACTTGGATATTTTCTTTGTACCATGGTAAATGCTTTATATACATTATCACATTTAAACCTTTCAAACTCTAGGAAACAAATATTACCATCTATTTTAATAGTAACTCACTCTAACTCAAAGAAAGGAAATATTTGCCTGAATTCATAGACCTGTTAATTTCAAAGCTATGTGTATAGCCCATCTGTCTAATGGTAGTGAACTCCAGTATCCCAGGCACATAAGTTGATGGGGTCCTATAGGCAGTCAAATGTTACCTCAGCCAGGAGTGGCTTTCGTGGACCAAAAGCCTAGAGTTTTCTTGGTGTGCTGTTCTCCCAGAATTCAGCTAGATCCTATTCTTTCCTATGTATAATGCCAGGAGTCTCAGCTGGGTGCTGTACTCAACCTGGTCTCCTGAGAGCTCATTAAATATGCAAACCCCCCCAGTCCCTACCAAGAAAGTTTTGATTGTGGAAATCTAGAGAGCCTTAGGAATCTGATTCTGACGTTAGAGGCCTTCAACCAAATGATTAGGAAAATAAAAAATACAGTATTCTCTGTCCTCATTGAAGAAGCTATAGAAATTTGCCCTTGATGCCAGATTTGGAAGACAGGGAGGACCAATTTCTTGACCGTAGGGAGTCCCCCACCCCCTTCCCCAGCCCTATCTTTTAGTGCTGAGCAGAGTGCATGGTACATGCTCAGTAAATATGGGTGGAAGAAACAAAATCTCTCTTCAGTTTCCTGGGCCCACAGATATTAACTGGTTTGGTAAGCCTCAGCATTGACAGTTCACTAACTGGAACATTTTCTTACATCCTTAGGTTTTTTAATGATGAACCTGGAACCAAGAGAATGCAGGAGAATGGGGAAAACTGGAGTCATTGGATGATGTACATATTCAGTGGACTGGCCTCACACTGCAAGCCCCAATTTTAAACGAAGATGAGTTTTCTAAAATTGTATGACGACTCTGTTCATCTTCCACCTTGTTGGCTTTGAACAATCTAGTTAAAGGTGCTACCTTCCCCGCATATTTCTGAGACCTTCCTCTGAACCCCTCAGTTTTGAACAAAATATCGATGAAAACCTCAGCCATCGGGGGAACTGAAATCTGGGTCTAGATGTCTGATTGTGTTGACAACTGAAATTATCCAACCCTTGGGCACACCCATCAGTCACACTGGATCAGGACACACACACACACACACACACACACACACACACACACACACAGTATGAGTGGTGTTCCCCTAGTGATGTTCATCAGAATTACATGGAGAATACTGAAACAACATAGACTCACAGTATCTGAGATGGAGTTGAGAATGTCTATGGCCCTTGAATGCTCCTCAGATGATTCTTGTTGGCTGGTAACTCCATTCTGTGAGTCTATGAGTGCATCCTTCAAGTTCATCTTCATTCCCATGGTTACACCTGCTACCTCCCCTTGTGGGTCCCACCTCCCTGTGCACATCTCCACTAGCACATGCTCCTTCACAGCTCCGTCCAGCAGTTTCTTTTATATTATATATATTAACTCCTTATCAGATATGTGATTTGCAAATATTTTCTCCCACTCTATAGTTTATCTTTTCACTCAATTTATTCTTTTCTTTGCTATTTTAGTTGGATGTAGTACCATTTCTCTATTTTTGCTTTTGTCCCTTGTGAGTTTTGTGTCATATCCAAGAAATCATTGCCAAGACCAATGTCATGAAACTTTCCCCTATATTTTCTTCTAGAGATTTTATAGATTTCTGTCTTAATTAAGTCTTTAATCCATTATGAATTGATATTTACATAAGGTATAAAGTAGGGGCCTAATTTCACTTCTTTACATATAGATATCTAGTGTTTCCAATAGCACTTGTTTTGTTTTGTTTTTGTTGTTGTTTGGTTTTGTTTTTTGCTTTTGGTACCAGGGCTCAAACTCAGGACCTTGTGCTTGTGAGGCAAGCACAGTGCCACTGAGCTAAATCCCTGGCCCTCCAACAGCACTTGTTGAAGAGACTATCTTTTCCCTATTTATATTCTTAATGTCTTTGTAAAATTGGAATATAAGAAATCAGTACAACTTGGTAACAGCCACATATGACAAGCCCACAGCTAACATCATAATTAATTCCATTATACAGTACAACAAAAAACAGAAAGCTTTTTCTGTCTTTCTTTCTTTCTTTTTTTTTTTTTTTTTTTTTGTACCGGTTATTGAACTCAGAACCTTGCGCTTTTAAGGCAGGCAGTAGCACCACTGAGCTAAATCCCCGGCCCAAAAATTTGATTCATTAAGCCTGGGGTTCAGTATGGGACCTTTCTTTTTTTTTTTTTTTTTGGTATCGGGTATCGAACTCGAGACCTAGCACTTGTGAGGCAGGCAGTCAAACCACTGAACTAAATCTCCAACCCTTAGAAAGGTTTTTCTACATAATCAGAAGAAACAAGATGACTGCTATTACCAATTTTACTCAACACAGTATTGAAAGTTCTAGTCTCAGAAATGAGGCCAATAAACAAAGCACATTCAAATTGAAATGTAAAATTATCTCTATCAAACTGTGTACTTAGAAATGGTTGAGATGTTAAATTTTATATTATGTGGGGTATTTTTTACCACAACAAAATAATTTTTTAAATGAAAATCTTTCAAAATTTAGAGCAAAAAGCCAAGTAATACAGCTAGTAAAAATAGCAGCAAATTCAATGCCCAAGCCAAATAAGAGCAAAACAAATCGAAATTTTGAAGAGGATTTACATATGACAGATAAATACACAAAAGATGTTCAGTTTCATTAGATGTAGGGAAAATAGAAATTAAAACTGTAATGAGGTATCACATATAACTCAGGATGGCTAAAATTAAAAAATAGTTATACCACCAAATGTTGGTGAGTGTGCAAAGAAACTGGATGGTCCATACATTGCTGGTGGGGATGTAAAATGGTACAGCTACTCTGGAAAACAGTTGGGTGCATCCTAACCCTAATTACCAAATGACCCAGCAACTGTATTTCTGGGTATTTTACCTCAGAGAATGAAAAACCAATGTTCACACAAAAACCTGTACACAAATAATCATGAGTGCTTTATTTACAATAGTGAAAAGTGAAATGACTCAGACATCCATCCTTCAACAAGTGAATGGCTACAAACTGGTGCATCCATATCGTGGAAAATTGTTGAGCAATAGAAAGGAACCAATCACTTATACGTGCCACAACTTGAATGTATCTCTTTTCTATACGGAGGGGGAAAAGGCCAGTCCCAAACAGTTACATGCTATATAGTTTTATTTATGCAATTGTTTAAAAATTTGGGTTAGAATGCACAGCATAAAACTTAGCATCTCAAATATTTCTAAGTTTATACTTCAGTAGTGTTAATTATATTCATATTATTCTACAACCAATCTTCAGAGCTTTTTCATTCTGTAAAGTTGACACTCTATACTCATTAAACAATTCCCCATTTCCCCTCCCCTCTAGTTTCTGGTAACCATCATTCTTTCTGTGCCTAGGAATTCCACTACTCTAGATGCCTTACGTAGGTGGGATCTTAATAGTGTTTGTCTTCTTGTGAGTGGCTTATTTCACTTAGCATGATGTCCTCAAGTTTCATCCATGTTGTGACATTTCTCAGAATTTCTTTCTTTTTTTATGACTGAATTATATTTCAATGTCTGTCTACACAACATCTTGTTTCTCACTCATCCACTGATGACACTTTACATCTTGTTTTGCTGTTGTTGTTGTTGTTGTTGTTGTTGTTGTTTTGGATAGGATCTCACTATGTAGCCCAGGGTGGCCTTGAACTTGTGGCAATCTTTCTGCCTCTTTCCCTAGTACTGGAACTACAAACATGCGCCACCATACCTGCCCACTTTACATTTTTTAAATGATAAATTTTATAAGCTGAGAGCAACTTAGTAGTTGCAGAGCTTAAGAAAGGTCAGAAGAAGGGGGACTTGGATATAATAGAGCAATATGAGGAATCCGTCTGGTGAAGGAACCGTCCTGTACCTTGGAACCATCCCTGTAACTATGGACACAGGAACATAGACATGTTATAAAGGCACATAGAACTAATTGCACACATCCACACACATGAATATATATATATGAAACTGGGGAAATCTGAATAAAATAGGTAGACTGTTTTAATATCAATATTCTGGTTGTGATATTGTACTATGATTTTATACATGCAGCTGAGGTAAAATAAGTAAAGGGTATATGGGACATCTCTTGTTACTTCATACAACTACATATAAATCTACAGTCATCTGAAATTTAAAAAAAAAATCAACTATGGCCAAAAATACTTGAACAGGCACTTCACAAGAGAATGTGTGTAAATTGCTTGTAAAATCATGAAAAGATGTTCAATAGCATTGATTGTCAAGCAAATATAAATTTAAACCATAATCACATCACATTTTATGCCTTTTACAATGGCCAAATCAAAATGTCTGACAATATTTAATGTTGATAAGGAGGAATGATAACGAGAACTCTCACACACT